ATCAAAGCGCAGCATCTCGATTTGCAGTTTAGTCTTCGGTGGTGATGCTGGGGAAGGCCGTGGACAGCAAGGGGTGGTCCGGAAGTGGCTAGACGCTCTCGCGCCATTTTAACTCACCTGGGACCTCGACAAAATCGGCAACGAACAAAATACTTCGTTTGAGAGTTTTAAAAGATCGGAAACGTCTTTCGAACACTGAACCGGACTTTCAATTACAAGAATGGCCATGGTGGGTATACTGTACGTCTTATCGTCACGTAAAATCTGCAAAGATCGACGTTGAGCCTTGCTGAGTGGCAACCGCGGGCGAGAAATGTCTGTATAAAACTCATGAAGCAACCGACCTGTTTTCTAGCAGTGGTCTCGAAAAGATCGCGAATTAAATTCTGAGCGAAGAACATTTGAGGTGACGATAATTGTGCAAAATACTGCGGTTGAGCATTGACTAGGGTCCCAATCGGATTTGTAGCACACATATCAGTGCTTGAATCAATATCCGATTGCAAGTATATCCAATACCTCCAGCGCTCTAATATATCGCATCGCACAGATCCGAACATTACCTCATATTGGTCACTACGCATAACCACAGCATTGACGTAATCGTAAGCATCGGCACCTCAACCACGAACCAAACCACTGAATCTTGAGCGTTGTTAGCTGTCGCCGATAAAGCGTGACGTGGAGCGGAGGTAAAAACTGAATTTCTAGCAACTGGAAGTTGCTGAAGCCAGTCATCAACAAGGAGTACGTGCACTCGAATAATCGAAGCGACGGCCATATTAGAATTATGCGAAGCGAACAATACGTCCGAGTATGCGGACATGGCATGTTGATATCTCCACAATGATCAACAATATAACTTGTAAAATGTTTCGATGAGTGCGATTAAAGGATTCCAATTGATTTGAGCCTTGTTAACACGGCATTCAAGCAACGTGTAGATTGCTTTACTACCAGCATTGCGAGTAACAATACCTCGATAGGCACCTGTATTCACTGCATCCGGCGGCCCCCCCCATGATTCAGCCAATTTTTGAACTGCATGAATAACTTGCCTTTTTTGTCAGCACCTGGTCCATGAGTTGCTACTTCTGGCTGACATCTCCAGCAAATTAATTGAGTAGTTTGCTCCAAATTTTACCAATGCGGCGTGTTGCTTTTCCTTCATTGAAAAATGCGCGATACATCAAGTAGTGGATGGTACGTTAGCAATTCGGTTTTCGAGTGGAGAGTTGAATTGGTTCCACCCAGATTTGACACTGCGCTTGCATAAGTCTGACACGAGTCCCTCATAAAGAGAATTGTGCGTCGGGCAGCGAGGTTTGTACACTATCATAGTTTTCAGGCGAATTATTGTTTTATCAAGATTTCCATAGGCACACCTTCAATTACCAAAACGTCGTAAATCACATTAGGTATAGACGGCACCTCGAGTGGTGATGCTTCACTGAATCTGTTCAGTTGATTTTATTGAGTTCATCCTCTGGAAAAACCATCGCCGTCCAAATATCCGTCAGCATCATCCTCGCCAAAGCTGATATTATCTCTAGATTTATCTAAGCCACAGTGCCCGTCATGCTGCAAAAATATCCCCAGAGCAAGGGTAGCTATCATAGCACACTGCCTCCCTGTTGGAAAGATCAGCGCGAGACATCTCGCCCGATCCATAGCAGTCAGTATGGAATGAAGCGTACTTTGCCGAAGTCGTACATGACTGAGGTAAAGACTGGTCGCCGCACGGACCTCTTGTATACACTGGAGAACAATAGGTTCTTGAGCTGCATGAAGTACAAGCCCCAGTGTGCGACCAAATAAACAACTTCGCGGACCCGCTTACTGGCGCTTGTACCAGCCAGATTGAAGGTATTTGGGAGGTCAAAATAAAGTCATGAATGAAGAGTGAGCGCCACATGAAGAAGGCAAAGATGTCAGGCTCCCTAGACGAGTATCTGCCGAGATCATGATACTTTGATTAGTCGAAGAAGACATTGACTACTGAATATTTCCACGATATCGTGATTGCCATCAGGCGTATACCAGGTGTAGATGCTAGTCAGGATGGCTACGTAGTATAGGCGATACCTAAGTATACAAATGTAGTTTATTTTTCCTTTACAGACTGTGCACACTTGCGGGCGTTATTTTGCATCGTGTCCACTCTGGTAGTTACCTATGGGACGGCATCAAGCGAGCGCGGCTGCCAGCGATGTTCCTGCTGGCCCTACTACTTCTTTTGTCCTCGTGGTGTCTCATGGAGCGGCATGGGAGACCTAACGCGTCGATTTGGGACGAATTTACAGTCGGTATCGGAACCGAGAAGCGCAAATATAAAAATGTGACGTACATCCAGTGCCAACATATCTTGTGTCTTATCCAGCCATCTTGAGGAATGCTAAAGCACGCCAAGCGCTGCCCGGATATTTCAGAATTTCTGCGTAACCGGAAGATGCCTTGTGAGAAAGCGCCACCACAGCGGCGATGATTGTCTCGGTGAAGATTCCAACGTTGAAGACAGTCTATAAACTCCTACATGACCTGACCCCGCCGAACTAAGCACAACCAGAAAGCTTCAATGCCAGACGGCTATTGCCATGTTCTTCTACACGGCATCAGTGACGTTTCGTGTTGCGGAACTCCCTGGCTTTAGGCAATGTAGCCTGCATTTACCCATCAGTCATAATATCTACTCGCGCAGATTTAGTTGGGAACCTGTTTGGGTGTGCGTTTCGTGCTGGGAAAAAGGTGCCATCGAGGTACTGAAAAACGTGCCTTTTGTTGCTCTTGTGTTCAACGGATGATCAAACCCGCCATGCGAGAGTCTCGTTAATTTCACTGTGATTGCTCCTG